AGAGAGAACCCGGTGACAGGGGTAGTCTGTCTGTAGACAACTTCAAGCATGGCAGAGTCCTCAGGGCACTCTGGAACATCACACATGTCCCCAGTACGTCATTATAAGTAAGGGAACCACTGGGAACCTGGAACGCTGGAGTCCTTTGTAAGTCAACGTCTCAACACTGTAACCAAATAAAGGGGAAGTAAACTTGGAGGAGGACACGATTACTTTGTCAACACAATACTTTCCAAGCTCTGCAAAGCAAGACATCAACTAGAGAGGGATAGTAGCGTGGGCTTGTTAGTGAGCATTTTTAAATATGTTACATGTAGTTTCTAACAAAATGATTGCAGAAGTATTGTTCTTACTTTAGTTCAGACATATTGGAGAGTAATTAGAGAAAAGATAGAAATCAATTCGATTTTAGGCTTAGAATTATCACCTGCCCACTGCTGAGTCGAAGAAAACAGCTGTAGGCTAAACTGAATTGAATTTGCAATCTCTATGGTTTTAAATTATGTTAAATAACTTTATGAAAAAAACGCTAAACTGATACAATTTCACTCTACCAAAGACGCCCTTCTATTTTAACTTATTTATGCAATGTTAGAAAATGCACTTGCTTTTTCTGGGAATCTAAGTCAGCTTTCAGATTCAGTATTTTCTGAGAGAATGGATGGAGATAAAGAACTATTCATCTATAATTTCTGTATTGGGAATTTATTTGGAATCTTTGATGAATTGCCACTGAGTAAATATCATAAGAGAATATAGGAAATTCAATAAGAAATATTAGACATGATTGATGAGCAAAAATATAAAACTCCAATTCCCATAATCTAACATAACTTGTGAATAAGTAAACTTCACCATTTCACTTATTTTATATGTGAATATGTTTCACATGAACATACCATATTATTTTATATTCTTTCATTTATTAACAAATACATTCTTTCAATTGTTGAAAACTAGTGTTTTTAAAATCATTTTATGTTTAAATAAGGATAAATGACAATATAATGAAATGAAGATATGCAAATTAAATAAGATTCAAGTATGTGGATTTTACATTCTTGTTTAGCAAGATTTTATCCTCAAAAGTCAGCAACGTAGAACATCAGTGTCATAACATAACTCTGCCCTTAAATCTCTAGGTTCTGGAGAGAAGTTGAAACATACCTCACAGTCACCCATGTCAACCACTTTTCAGATTTAGGGTTAGCAGCAGGTGTGCATGGAAGGCACCGCCTTTATCCACTGAAAAGCTCGGCCATCCCTAGAGATGGGCTTGTCAGTAAGACTACAGGAAACACAGCCCTGTCAGTAGCCTTCGCACTAGTAACACACACAAAGAGAGATTTAAAATAGGAACACATGGTACATCCCACCGAACCCACTTATTTTCAGTCACTATTTTCTGCTGTTTGCAAAATCTCTTTGCTTATAGTAAGGCAGGTTATGTATATGAAAAATGTGATTGCTGTGCCGCAGGTAGCCTGCCAGTTGGATTAGAGTTAGTGACTAGGAGTTAAGCGATCACTTTAGCTAATATGGTAACACACAAAACAGGGCTTGGCTAGAAATCACACAGGATAAATTGCTTATGCAATGCCAAATGTCTGCATAAAACTGAACTTTGATATCTAGAATAGTCCTTTTATTTTCAGTATGTGATTTTATAAGTCCGAAATGACTAGGTCGTTCTGTAAAACTAAAATGTTTTTTAAAAGCTAAAGACTTATTAGACATAACATAGTCTTTAACATTAACCTCAGTTCCTCTGTTTAGACTCGGTATGTTAACATGCTAATTGTTTTATTTCTTTTCAATTATTCAGTCACTCATTCAAAAATGTTAATTTGGTTCTGCTTTGTACTAACCATGACTCTAGAAACTACTGGAAATGGAAATTAAGAATGAAGGAGCTAGGGTACCGGTGGGAAGGGCCTGGAACCTGACATGGCTAGATGAGGCAGATATGGCAAAGGTTGTGTGGGCAAGGAGGACGCTCGGAGGGTGATGGGGTGTCTCTCATAGGTGAAAGAGATGGTCAGGTAAAGAAACCATCGGAGATGCATATTTCAAGTGAGACATTGTCGTGACCTGGTCCAAGATATGTGCCAAGAAGATGGAAACAAATTTATAAATATGGTACATTGTGCAGCAGTTTCCTCCAAGATAAAGCATTCCCTCATGCTGGGAAGGTCATTGAGACACAAGGCATTGAAAATGGGGGTGGGAAGAGCAGAGCTTGGTGACACATGCACTCCAGGACAGACGTAGGCAGATCTACATAGCAACTTCCAGGCCAGCTAGGGCAGATTTGGGACCCTGTCCCTCCCAGACCTCTCTAAGAGAAGGAGGGGTCAAACAGCAGCATGTTCTAAAACAGGGCGAGTGAATCATTCTGTCCTACCGGGAACTACTTAAGCTCGATAAGTAAACAACACAATAGCTTCAGGAAGCCCCTGACCTTGACAAGATTCACTGTTCCATGCCACATAAGGACTCTTGAGGGTCTCTCAGACCAGCCACAGCCTTGAGAAAAGCTCAGACCTTGTGAGCTGTCTGGATTACACTCCCCAGCCTGTAGGCCGCCTGCAGGTCTTACAGTGCACTCCTGGTTTCCTGTTTCATGAGCTGTCACCCATGCTGAGGTGGGCTTTGGTGATGCAGCTGTCTTTGAGTCATTTCTGCTCCTGTAAGTAACCCCTCACCCACACTCCTGGGAGTAGCCAAGATGGACTTTGATGGCACCCTTACTTTGGTCTGTCGTTGGTTCTCTATCTGGCATGAGTTAGGCTTTTGTTCTTGTCTCCCCAGAAATAGTGCCAATTCATTTTCTGTTAGGCAGGAGGTGGGCTATGTAGGAAATAATGTTTTATTCTAATATTAAGCTAAATGTAAAACTGTGTAAGAAACGTAATTTTGGAGATACCAAGTGAATCAACTGTTAACTAAGTCTTGAGTCAGAGTATAGACCAGTGCTAAATGTAAATTTGTTTTTAGAACAATGAGATTTTAATATAATGAGATTGAAACAGTTTACTCACAAAAAGTACAGCTCACGACCACCGGTAATTCTTGTTTGAAGGGACCCAACAGCCTCCTCTGGACGCCTAGGGCATCTGTAAGCACATTCGCACCCACACACAGAGACAAATAAATGAAAATAAAAAATTTTTGACTAGCATAAAACCTGAAAGTCCTTCCTGTCAGTCTGCAGATTCTTTAAGAAAACTACCTGAGAATGCTCTGACGAGCTATCAGTATTTCTACATAGCATTCTGTCACCCATTTTAATGGATATTTTAGCTTCTAATTTAAAACCATTTCTGTTAGCAGAGCTCAACGATTCTCTGGCATATTTCCACAGAAATAGTGGCTGTGGAAAGTGACCCACAGATGCAGCATGTGGAGCTCGAGGTCTGCTCCGAGCTCCGCTCCATCATCTCCAGCATCGTAGAGGACAGATACCGGCAGCCGATTTTCTTCAGCTGAAGTCTATCTATGGATTTTATCCTTACGAAAACAGTCTTTGTGAGAAGTAAAAATTGGATCAATTGTGTTCTCTTCCCCTGAGATCAAGAAAAGGTTCAGGTTTGCCTACTGAGAATACATTTGATCTTCACTTCCTGTGTTTACAATTTTATGTAAAAATACATGTACTAAGTGGCCTCAAGTTCCTCTGCCTTAACCCAGACTACTACGATTTCTCTTGTTTTCTTCTTTTGAGATGGAGTTTCCTGTATCCAAGCTGGCCTTCAACTTGCCAGGATGTCCTGGAATTTCTGATCCTGCATCCTCTACCTCCCCAACTCAGGGATTAGTCCAGCACCAACACATTTGGTTTTGTGTGTACTCCTAAACATGTTGAACTGTGAACTTATGACTATCGAATTCCTTGATTACATTCTTTTGTGAGTATTAAGCATTCCAGTATCATAATTATTTAAACTTACAATTCATTATATATAGACCTTTAAATAAAATCTATAAGCCCATTGTTCTTGATTGAGCGCCTGCTTCAGTCTACAGCAAAAGCACAGTCTGGGATGGAAGGCCTCATTAGTCATCCTGTGGCCAAACAACTCTAAGGTGGGCCAGTTTCACAGAAATCAGGACCTTCAATAACCAACCATGAAAGGCCAAGTCAAGCAGACGTCCACCAGAACCCTTTGTGCGTTTCTCTGTAAAGAATGGAAGTTGGAATCAGTCAACAGTAGTTTCTTAGTCCCTTTCACTCCTCCACCCTTTCTGTCTAAACAGCCCACATCTCAGCTCCACTCACAGAAATGCCTTTCTACTATGTGGGCCAGATGTCCAGGGATCATGAAATTGCTAATACAGGCTACTTAATCTTCCTGTATACCTGTACAACTGTAGTTTTCCTCACTCAGATCATCCCAAATTTCCTCCAATCCCTGATCTATGTGCAGGTGAAGTGTGATTCTGAGGAAGATAAAACCTTGCGTTTGGCCCTTGAAGCCTGAATTTTGCCCAAGCTCCACGTTTCTTCCCTCTTACCTCACTTCCTGCTTCCAGATTTCCGGTTTCCTTAGACTAAATGGTGTTCTTACTTTGACCTAAACGCTGAATTTTCAAGGTACCTCTTCTTCTGTTTCCCTCCTCATCTCAGAAAGAAACTCACTCCCCGCTCTGAACAGGTATA